CCGAAGTTAGACCAACTTTTAAACCCCATGAGGCAACATCGCCGACAAGACAGGGGACGGGTGACGACGATTTAGTCCGCGGTATGACATGTCCAGTAAAGATAGACAGCGGCTCGGGTTTGTCAGGTCTGGGTCGAGAGAAGTTTCGGTCTGGACGTCAGAAGCTTCGGTGCAATGATATGTTGGGGCACGAGCGCAGACGTCCTACCAGTAGAGGCAAGGCAATGTCTTTGAAGATTGCGTGGGCTAAGTACCTTCCTTTGACACGCTATCAGGCGGCGTTCACTTCGCCAACAGTCAGCCATTGCTGAGGCTCCGGGCTTTGTGTCGTCACTCTTCTCTTCCTTGGGCTTCCTGTTCACTCACGCTTTGTCCAGTTAGCTTGGAGTCACTCACATCGTTAGCGCGACCAAGGTGTGATACCGACAGTTTTTGCTGTCATGCACCAAAGCATACCAAAGCAAGGGCCACTACGTATCCTGCTGGAACTTGCATGTACATTTTGAGTTCTTGCTTAATGTCTCTGTGAGAAAGTGCGAAGTGACTGCTTGCCCACGCTTTTTGGCGTAGTTTGATAATTTGCTATGGTAGGACTAGCTGGAAAAGATCTCAGGAAGTACCATCGGAAGCGCAGTTCTTGATAGCAATTCGGTCACGACATGTCTGCCGGCGAAATCTGCAAGTGTGCGCTTTTCCCTTGACAACCATTGAGCGCCATCTTTGGGCAGGTTTCATGGGTGTGATCGCAGAAGTCTTCTCAGCCTCGGCACCCCGCCGCAAGCAGCAAGCACTGTGTGCGCCACGGACGCCCCCTGTGCTTTGGAAGACCAGTTCGAGTACCATCAAGTCCGCATAGAGGAGTGGATCGTGCACTGGTGTGCAAAGTAGCTTCGGATCAAGATGTGCTGGACAAGTATCGGCAAGTACTCTCAACAGGATGATTGAAACGAAAATCTCTTTGGGATCCAGCGCTCCAGCCTCATCATATTTGTCACCGACAACCCATTGGGCCAAGTGCGACACACCGCTATCATGAGGGTGTGTGGACTCGGTGAGAGGTAGTTGATTGTGTTCCACGTCTTGTCGCCTCGAGGTTGGCCTTCAGCCACAATGCCCGAACTTCGAAGAGCAGCCGGCTTGGACGCAGTGTGAGCACTCAGCTCAGCAAAGCACAAACATTGTTTTGACTTCAGGTATCGTGATCCACGGCATGCGAAACGAATGCGTGGCAAGTCACGCTGATCGCGCGTGTGTGAGGTTGCGATGACAGACGTGTGGGTACAGTGTCGAAAATGTGTCTCGAAGCCATGAGGTAGGTGAATTCCTCACTTCACTGAGCAGATCGAAATCACGGTGGATGGGATGGCACTTTTCCCGTTTCTTGTTTCGCTTTACTCGAGCAGGAGTGTTCCGGGTAGGAATTCCCTCAAACTTAGACTATCCAAAAGCTTTCGCAACACGTGAACAACAAAATTCACAAGTCGAACATGGGAGGCTTCAGTGCGGGTTGACAGGCAATGTCCAGGCGACTAAACAGATCAGGGTGTAAACACCGTTACAGAGTGCTTCAGCCAAGCATCAAGGTCTCCCCAAACTGTATGAATACTACAGCAGTCCTGAACATCGTCAGCACCACCTGGCCATAAGGATCTTCACATGTAAGCGTGAGTGTCCACAGGAAGAATCATCACCACATACTAGCTGTCACATGAAGCATGCGTGTTCCATTGCTTACAGGTCCGTGTCCGTTGTTCTGGCATACGTGATGAGGCTTAAGCCCTGCTCGGATGAGACATACTAGCATGAACTGTGTGGATGCTTTCGGATCAACCGTCTGTTGGGATGCCAGGTTCGAGCAGCTGTCACTGAGGCCTCATAAGCCGATACTGGCGAGATTCATCCTTCTTTCCTCTCAGGTACGCTCAGGATCTTTTGCAGCACTGACAGTAACAAGTCTGAGGGGCAACGGAATGCCCACATGACGAAAGTGCTTTTGAAGAGGATCGCTGTGCACTGGTACGTCTGTCTTTACAACCGCGCATTTTGGTGCCAGCTTCCGAGGCCTCTCCCATGCAGCAACTGCAGACCTTCGATGAGGACATCGGACGCAGACAGAAAATGGCTTTTGCATGCTCCTGCGCCGTTCTTTAAGTGTCGCGGCCCCCACTGCCTTATGAGATTCTGTGAGTTTGGTGTAAGTTGCCTGGCTTATTGTGGTGTCCTTCACCAGCATGTCCCGAAGCTCCACGAGATCCCAGAACACTGCTCACGGCCATCTCTCATCAGGCGCAGGGGGCTGCTGAGTCAGGGAGTCTGCGCTCAAGCCCACATGAGGCACCGTCCTCTTCCAGAGATACTGGGAACGTTGACCAATGCGCGAGCTTGATTCCACCGGCTCCTAGCCATGTCTTCGACACAGAATTGTGTGCCCTTTCTGTTAGGGGCCTGGCTCCCAAACTGGTGGCTGTTGGAGACCACCTTCCGTTCACGCAACGCTGCAGCCCGGCGGGGGGATATTGGCGGGCAATCATATCAAAGCCGCAATGCCAGTTTGCATGCTGGTTGTCTTGTTTTAACGGGGAGGGCGTGCAATTTGTTTTGCGTGTCTATGCACACACAAGAGCACAAGCGCACAAGAATACATCATAGAGGTCACCAAGCCAAACTTCCGCAAGCCCTACATATAAATCCCTCGCCAAACCCTGTCGAAGGTTCCATGGGAAGCTGTTGTGTAGACCCTGCCTCCGAACAGCTTCCGCCAATCGTCTTTCTGCAACTCTCACGCGCACGTGCATATCGCGTGATTGCAAGATATGGCAAGTTGCGTTGCAGCCGTGTCACAGATTAGGAAGGAAAGTTTCATCGTCGGTCCACCAAGATCTATACATGAGGGATGTGTCATATGCCATGTGAGGACACGGTAGTGAGCGCAGTAGGTGGCTTGATCTTGGAGGGTTCTGTCTCTACCCAGCAAAGGGTCTTCGTGATCCAGCCATGGAGCCTGCCTCACCTGTCCCACCGGAGCCTTTCAAACAAGGCAAGGTCACAATTCTGGTGGCCTAGCAACTCCATCATGACAGTGTCTTCATGTTGTCAGTTGTGTGAGCCCATGCAGGCGCGCACAAGCGCACGTCCATCTGTGCAGCGCAGGAAGCAAATCAAGAGGCAGACGTTCTGCAACATTCTAAGTACTCGCACATGAGACGATGACCTTGTGTGCCCTCGCTTCCTGCCCTCAGAAGAGGTTCTCTTACGGGTCTTACGGGCCGGAGGACTTGACGAATCAGAAGACGAGCACGCCGCCAGGCCGGTTCTTAATTTGCACATTCACAAGAAGATAGAACCCTGTAGAAGTAGGAGGAGCGTGGTATGGAGAGAGAGAGAGAGAGAGACAGAGAGCTAGCTTTGCCGTCCCGAAGGAGCATGCAGGCCTTGTCGGAGCGGGATTTCGTCTTCCGCCTTCTGGTTTTGGCCAGCGGTGCCCTGATGGGGCGGCAAGTCTTTGGGATCACGTGTGTGGGGCTGTACACCAACGAGTTTCTTCTTGATAGGTCTTGCAAGCAGCGTCGCTGCTCAAAGCTGCGGTCGCTGCATGTATGGGCCAAGTTCGACCTCATTTGCATCGTATTGGCGTGGCTTGATCTACTACTGACCTACCTGATTGAGATTGAAGATGGAACCTATGCCTTTGCCGTGTTGCGGGTGCCTTCATTGATGCGACAACTGCTTCTTGAAGGTGGAACCTCTGCCTTTGTGTTGCGAGTCCTGCCATGGCTGCAAACGAAGCTTCGCTTCCTCCGCTTGCTGATGCTGAATCCGCCGATGTTTCTTTTGCTGGACAGCACACCACCGTTTTCATACACCAATAGCAGACCACCGTTTGCATACACCAATATAATGGTCATGATGATCATTAACATGTACTCGGTGACGGTCGGCTTCGAAGCAAGACCGGATCTCTCAGAGGATTGGACTGGAGCGATCTTGTCCATGTTCTCCTTCGTTCTATTATTTCGAAGGAGGACTCCCCAAACCATACCCATCTGCGAACCTGAAGATTCTTATTGGACTTACTAGAGTACACTGCGCTGTGCTGCCCCCTGGAGGAAGGACACTGGTGCCTATTCGGGGCTCTTGCGCTACGTCGCCATCGAGGTCCTGACGGCCTTAAATGAATGGGTTCAGGCGTGGCGGGACAGAGACACCCAAGCGGAGGCACGTTTCTTGAAATGGCTTGTGCAGTGACTGCTAGTTAGAGATGCAATGTACTTTTCTCGGACGACCGTGCCACTATTTACGGCGTTCATCTTTCAGTGAATACCTCAACAACTCCAATAATTGAATGTCTGGACACTAAAGGAGAATTCAACGTCTGGAGTCTGGACTGTACAGGATAGGTTGGGTGCATGTTGACACCGGGATGTCGAACTTTACCGAGACATACTTGTCACTCAACCTTGCAGGTCGCTGTGCTTCCTCGGAAGCTTCGGCTTGGGATCGCCCACCGTGGCTACAGAAAGACGAAAGACGCTTGGAGCATGTGTCTCTAAAGCATCTCAAACTCTTAAACTGGTGGCCAGTAGTCACACAGGGCCGTAGGTGCAAACCCACGGACTGTGGGACCCTTAGCAAGCCCTTATCAGCTTTCTTTACATGTCATGCGCTCAGGATGGGAACGACGGCTCGCATTTAGTGTCTCGGCTGGGACCACAAGCCGAGCTCAGCAAGCTGCTGGAGGAAGTCGCTCACCTGAAGCCTGATGTTGCAAGCTTCGTTCTCCTATTATCGGTTAGGTAGGTCTGGAATAGGATGGCTACACTTCTGCATGAGATCTGCATGCCAGTCAGTCTCTTTGATATCGGCGATCGCCGTGGCCATTTTGGCGCAAAGGCGTTCGCCCACGGATCCGGGAAGGATCTTCTTGAGCGGAAGGTGTTCTCTAGGGCCTGGGAGCTTAGTTCTGAGCCATGGCCTCGTGGGGAGATGAACAGCCTGCTCAGGCGGCTCAGGGCCAGGGCCTCCAGGGCTATGACGATGGTCGTAGTCGCCGAGGCTATGGTCATGGCGGCGGTGGTTGGGGTGGCTATCGCCACCGTGACGATCGACGGAGGGGCGGTGGGGGTCAGTTTCCCCAGGCTGCTCACAATCCGTATGACGTTCGTCTGCCACACTTTCTCCAGTCTATCGCGGAATGTGAAGACGATGCGAGAAAGACCTCGATCATTATGGTCGATGCTCGCGACGAGAGGATCGTTTCGCCTTTTCAGGCGTGGCTGGTCAGGGAGATTATGACAAATAGCTCCAGCTCTGTCAACGTTCTGACGGAGCGGGACCAGGTCATGCCTCCCAACTCGGGCTACCACATGTCGCTCTTTGCCAACTATACGTTGGATGGGATCAAGGCCACGCTCGCGGTGTCGATCGACTCCCAGACTGGTGCTCCGTGCGGTGGCTGGGATGATATGACCGCTCGGGCTTTGAGTCACGTGGCTTTTCAGCCTTTCACCTGGCCGGTGCTCCGGGACACATCGCCATCGTACACCGATGTCAAGATCTACAATGGCAACGAGATCCTTTTTCACTGGATCTTTCGAGGCTATCGTGCGGACACTGACCTCTCGGTCCAGCAGCAGTTCGCTGATGAATATTTCATCCGAGGCACTCGCCAAGGACGAGCTCGCTTGTCTGTGGTGGTGGCTGCCTTTTCAGGATGGAGGGTCTCCGTTTTCTCGTTCGAGTGTGGTGGCCGGACCTACTCGATCGGACCCAATGGCACGGTGATCGCCGGCGACAGCGCGCGCTCACGCTTTGAGCTCCGCGTTTCCGATCGGTCCTCAGAGGATGCTGTGGGAAACGATGCTGATCGGGTGGAGTTTCGCTATCGCGATTCCAACAACCGCATCGATCTCAAGTGCTCTCGCACATCGGTGCCGACGACATGGCTCACGGTGTCGCATATCAGTGGGCCGACTTTGATCCAGACCATCTCTCGATGCCGTGATCAAAGGGCACGAGTTGAAGGTCCGGAGCAGACGGAGCAGTTCGCCCAGCTTGCCGCAGCTCATCAGGGCTGGTGGCATGACGCGGCGACGCTCGACCCCAGCCAGGTCGGAGTCCGGGTCACGTTCGTGGCTGGACTCGACGCGGGAAACTTTCACGTGCAGACTGAGAGCAAGCTCTTCGTGAGGGATCCCGAGGTCGTGGCTACAAAGGCACTCGCCGAGATGTCGCATGATGGTGGTGCGATCGCAGCAGTACCTCGTGGGCCGCCGGCGCTCGCTCAATCTGCCTGGTCCGTTGCAGCAGAGTCGGCGAATGCGCTCGCTGACATTCCTTCGGGCTCGGGGGAGTTGGCAGTTCGTCGTCGTGCTCAAGACGACCTGGACACCCGCACGTTCGCTGCGGCGGAAGACACTCGCGGGCATGTGTCGGATCCTGTCCGTGATCAGGCCCGAGACGATCGGTCTTTCTCAAAATCCACGGCGAAGTTGACCCCACAGCTCTTCGCCGAGTTGACTGGACCTGGCACGCCTTTCGGCAGCGGCCGTTCGGCCGCGGCCTCAGCTCAGCCCTCGTCGGTCACCGTGCGCGAGGTCATGGAGGCAGATCCGGAGTCGAGCGATCCTCAGAACTTGCTCGGTCCTGTGGGCGAGCCGACTTCGTTCAAGCCGCATCGAACTCCATAAGTGCGGCCTGTGCTCACAGGCGCCCGAGTTTTGAACAATGTTCGCGCTTTCTGGTCGCCAGCACGACTCAGGCGACCCGCTCGGGAAGAGCCAAAAAGGAGGGACTGTGCGGTTTCGGGAAGATTGGTGCTGTTCAGGCCTTACAGTTCTGCAACATGTTCTCAGCTGCTTGTGTTGCTCTAGGGTGCTGTGCTGACTTGTCATGTTCATGTCATGTCACCGCGTGTTCTTGATGTTTTGTTCTGCACGGCACGCGCGTCTGCTCGCGCACACTCACTCTCGCCTCGCTCGGGAAAGGGGGGGGGCAGGTCGGTGCTCGCAGGTTCGTAGCAGTGCTGCAGTTCAAAGCTGGCTCGCTTGCCCTGGCGCTCGCTCGCAGGGCTCGGCAGGATGTTGCAGGAAGCAGCGCCCGCCGATCGGTGGACGGCGAAGCTGCTTGCTTACCCGTGCTTTGATCATGGCTTTCGGCAGGCGGTTCTGTCGACCCGACGTTCTCGCTGTGGAAGCTGAGTCTTCGGGGCAGTTCGCAGCACAGGTCTTTAAGTGGACGGCCAGCTCGGCTAAGGAAGCCCACGACTTGCTCACGTCACGAGCTCACATGCTTGAGCAGTTCTGGACCTTCGCTCGACCCGCCGAGGCATTGTTCACTGACTCTTTGGGGTACCAGATGGGCTTCGCCCGCTGCTCGAAGATCCCTCAAAAAAGGTCGGCGACATCTATCGCGCACTTCCAGAGGGATCTCGCTATCCGGGCCTTGGCGGCTCCAGTGTTGGCGCCAGCCGCGAAGAAGAAGCCTAGCTCTCAGGCCGGCAACTCAACGAACACTCCGCTGCTCGACATGGAGAACGCCGAGAAGCAGCGCTGGGCCAAGCGGCTCCGCGCGATTGCCGAGCGCGCAGGTGGTCATGCAGATCCCGATCGGAGTGCCACTCGCACGAAATTCTTTCCGATGAAGAGAAAGCTCGTTTGCAGCTGCTGGTGTTCACCTCTGGCGCTCCTTCTACGATGGCAAATCACATTCGCCGTTTTGAGAAGTTCGAACGCTGGGCGCAGCGGGTGGGGATCGATTTCTACCCGCTCTCCGACGACAAGATTCTCAAGTATGCGATCGACCTGGACTCTCGAGAATGTGGGCCCACGGTCTTGCCATCCCTCAGGATGGCGATTCGATGGGTCGCGTTCCGCATCAATCTGGAACTCCCCACGATCGACATGCAGGCTCTGAAATCGCTCGAGAAGCACGTGTTCACTCAGAGGGGAAAGCCTTTGAAAGAAGCAGTTCCCTTCGAGATACCGTTGGTGATCGCTATGGAGAAGTTCGTCTGCAACGACACCCACCCCAAACCTGCTCGGGTCTTTATGTGGTGGGTGCTGTGCATGATCTTTGCGTCACTGCGGTTCGACGACGCGATCCACGTGAAACCGCACGAGCTCGAGGTGAAGCCGGAGGGTCTTTTCGGTGTCTCGTGGCAGACCAAGACAGAAAGGAAACGCCGTGGCACTAAGTTCGTGGTCCCAGACGTCTCCTTCTCGAAGTGCTCTTGGTTTAAAGATGGTCGTGACATGTTCGAGCTGGAGTTCCCAAATTGGTCGAACGGGACTTTTGGATTGATTCCAGATCTGGACTCCAAGACCTCTTGGCGCCAGACTCCCCCGGGCCATGCCAGGTCGCTTCACTGGCTCCATCGCTTGGTCTTCGTGGCGGGCAAGGAGGTCGAGGTCGCGCAAAAGATCTTGAATGACGTCACGAATCTCTCGTGGCACTCGGCGCGGGTGACTATGCTGGATCAGGCAGTCCACTTCGATCGCAGTGCCCAAGAGATCGGCGTGCAAGCGAACTGGAAGAATCCTGGACCATTGGTTCTCAAGTACACGCGTTCGCGCAGTTCTCTTCCAGCCAAGATGATCAAGGAGTTGGTCCAGGAGATCTCGCGCGACTTCACGCCTGAGTGCGCTCATGCAGACGATGAGATCGATGACCGCGAAGATCGCGACGTGACTCTCGCCGAGTTCTTCGTGAAAGCTCCTGAGAAAGGTTCCAGTTATGATTATAAGTTTCATGTTTGTTCTAGTGACTCAGTCGAGGAGATTGCCTGCAAACGGGCGATCGCCCCAGAGTTTGTACACATCGGGTCGGTTCTTCCTGATCCGCAGTTGTTGTGCAAGCTTTGCGCTCGCGCTCGGCCTGACGTGGCTCGCGCCTTTAAGGTCTAAACAGACGTGCTGTTCTACTAGAGTGCGTGTTCTTGCGCTGACTCTGAGGCTTTGCCGCTCCGAGTGTTTGCTCAAACTCAACAGCTCTTGCAAAGATGGTCGACCGCACTGTCTACCCGGACAAGGACAAGGTTCCTGAGCTGGCTCTTCGCCAGATCTTCGGGCGCCAGAAGTTGCCTGAGCCGCTCTGCCTGCTCATGGCAGACAAAGGCATGCTGCTGGTCGAAAGAATGGCCATGCTCGGCGATAGCCCTCAAGGCGATCGTCGGCGATGACAGCAAGTTCGGGCCTGATGGTCCTGCGCAAGAACTCTCGTTGACGCTTCTCACCGCCGTCCGGAAATCGGCTTCTGTTCTGCAGGAGCACATTTCTGCTCGCAGAGCCAAAATGGAAGAAGATCCTTCCAAGATTCCAGAGATACCCGGAGAAGATCACGCCGAGTTCAGGGAGATCTTCGTCAATCATCATCCCGACGTGATCCTTACGTACATGCGAGAGCCGCATCGCAAGTTCGTAGAAAGGATCCATCGTGACTTTCTGGTGCACGGTGCGGTCGCCTTCTACGAGGTAGCGGAGATGCGCACTCGCGCCGATCGCGTTGTCCAGACGACAGGCTTCTCAAAAACCTCCGATGATCTTCTTCGAGTGGTGCAAACGGATAACAAGGTGTCGATCGCATCTGACTCCGACGTCATGGATCGACTCCACGCTTTCTTCATTGCGCTCGAGTACCTGGATATCTGCGACTTCACGATCGAGGCAGGCCCCCTCAAGTACCTCTCGGAACTCGAAGAATGGAGGCATGACAATCGTGGTCTGGCTGTGCTCTTGGCGGCGGATTCTCTCATCCGCAAGAAGGTCTATAAGTTGAACAACGACAAGAGGAAGGATTTCCCTTCGTTCTCGGCTGCGCTCAAGGAAGTGCTCACGCATCATAAGCAGCTCTGGAACGTTGCCCGCTCGACGGCCGAGCTCGAGAAGTTCACGAGATCTCTACACCGGTCAAGCGGACTCGTTCCAGGTCTCCGCCAGCTGCTCCTACGCCGCCGAAGAACGAGGCGCGCTCGCGCAAGAATACCTGATAGATCCAATGGGGCTAAATTTAGACCCCCGACCAATTTAGGCCCCCACGGGGGTCTAAATTAATTTAGACCCCCAGATTTGGGTGGCTAAATTTGGCCCCCCGAGTCTAAATTTAGCCCCCCAGGCCCCCCAAAAAGTGTATACAGTTTTGGTTGGCCCCCCAAAAAGTGTATACACTT